CAATTTCAGACAATGGATGTTGATAGGTTATTTGACCTTGAGGAAATCAAATCTGGTTGCCTTTCAATGCCACTAAGCATACCTTTTAGTAGAGGTTACCAGATAGCTATCAGGACCAGGAACATGGCTGATTTATAGATAGCTTAGCCCAATGAAACTGAGACAAGAGCACACCTCCCAACATCATCCAGAATGAAATTAGTTAACTCAGGGATCAAACTTGCAATCTTCCTCTCATGTACCATCATGTGCTTAGCTCACCTCTCACATCTGAGCCAGAATGTTGAGTTCTGTTATATAAGTCACAAGTGTGTTAGTATCTTCTTTATTTTGTCTTTCTCAATAAAACGCTACTCTACATCACACACAATTTGTCCCATTTCCAGTGTTCTTTTATACTTCCTCTCATTGGCTCCTGGTCAATTGCTCCATTAATCCTAATTGAGTTTTCAACAAGTTCGAATGGCACATCGAGCCTTGAACTCTTAGTCTAGGCTGACATTCTGATGCATCTGCTTCTGGGGCAATGCTGTACACACATTGACTGTCATGTTAAACCATAAAACACAGTCACTCCACTTTACAGTATATCTGGGAAACCCTTTGAGATGCCCTCACGCCATGAATACAACTACACCAAGTGTAAGAATTATTATTATTATTGATATTGGAATGTTGCATTATTAGTTACTATCTTTTGGGACGTCCTCCCGACGTGAAAGGCGCTATACAAATGTAATTTTGTTGTTGTTGTTGGATAAGACTATTAAACCAAAACCTCACCTGCCTGTCTTCTGGTGGACGTTAAAAATCCCATCTCACAATTTAAAAGTGAAGGGACTCCCGGCCAAGAATCCTCCAAATAAAATGTGGAGCCCTGTTTATAAAATATGTTTGTATATAAAATCAGTCACTATATTTGACAATAATTACTGCGAAGCACTTTGAGATGTACTGATATAATAAGCAATGTAAAAATGAAAGTTGTTTCTTTCTCTTACCAGTCGGTACAAATGCGTAATGGTGTGCATTTACCCATTGAACCATTATCAAAACCCCACTTATTTTATTTACTCACAGACACACACTTAAGACATAAGGAATCAAAATAGAAGTATTAGAAAATACATTCCAATTCTTAACCACCAACAGCATGATGATTAAGGAAGAAATTAATTTAGGAATCCTGCAATTTTAATCCCGAATGAGAGCCAATTTTAAACAACAGCAACTTGTATTTATGTAGTGCCCTTCACATCGGACAGTGTCTCGGAGTGCTTAAAAAAAACAGCCTTTTGTTCAACCACCCATGGTGTAGTACATTCAGGGGGAAGCAACCTCCAAGCGTTTCAAGTTAGACTTGCCAATATACTTAAAAAGTGGCACTGTATCTCAGTGGCGTAGCATTGCATTTACAAACATTCTAAACATGCGACTACTACTGCACGTGACCAGCATTGGGTCATCGCAACCTCTACAACAGCCGATCGATCACAGGCATTCCTGAGGCTCAAGGCCTGAATCAGCATCCGGGTGTGTCTTAGACATCCACAAATGCACCTCCAGGTGCAGGCCGGTCGCAATCCGTGGTACAGCTGAACAGCAAGTCCGAGAGCCCAATGCGCAACCGGCCGTTGGTCCACGCAGTGGATTTTGCCCACAAAATATACAGTCAATTCACTTTACACTATATTCTGTGAAGCTCTTTGAGATGTCTCAAAGACATGATTAGCAGCTATATCAAATGCAACAATTATTATTATTATTATGTGTCAGAAGAGGAAGTGACGCCTCCGTGCTGTCTTCTCTTTGACCGTGCCTTCAGCTCCCCTCTCGACTCTCTACCCCCTCCTCGCTCCCTCCCTTCCCTCCCCTCACCCTGACCATTTCCCCCCTGCTCGGGTCCTGACCCAACTGTTCAGCGCCTTGGGACGTCCTCCCGACGTGAAAGGCGCTCAATAAATGGAATCTTGTTGTTGTTGTTGCTGAAACATATCAGGAAAGCCAGTCTGAGCTGACACTATGTCATTAACATGGTTGAACCAGCATATTAAGCGCTCCAGGATTCTGTTGTTGTTATTGCATTCCAATAGGTGGGGAAGGAAGGTGATTGAAGGCACAGTCGAACAGGTGGGTCTTGAAGGAGGCAAGGGAGGGGGCGAGGTGGAGGGACTGCAGGATGGACTTCCAGAGGGTGGGGGCAGAGTGGGTGAAAGCCCGCCATTAGTGGGGCGGGTGAGGTGGGGGACATGAAGCAGGCCAGAGCCCGCTGAGCAGAGTGAGCAGGTGGGTTGTTAGAGTGTTAGGAAGTCGCTGTGGTAGGGGGGAGCAAGACCATGGAGGGCTTTGAAGGTGAGGACCAGGATCTTGAACTGCATCCTCTGTGTGATGGGAAGCCAGTGGAGTCAGCTGAGGATGAGGGTGATAGGGTCACGGAGCCTGGTGCAGGAGAGGACATGGGCTGCAGTGTTCTGGATGATCTGCAGCCTATGGAGGAAGGAGTTGGGGAGGCCAACAAGTAGGGAGTCTGCATAGTCGAGCCTGGATGTTATGAATGCATGTATGAGGGTCTACGGGGCCTGCAGTGTGAGACATTGTCTTTGCTGGGCGAGGTTGCGGAGGTGAAGGAAGGCAGAGTGGGCCATGGCACGGATGCGGGGTAGAAAGGATAGTTGAGGGTCAAATAAGACGCCAAGATTCTGGACTGGCTTAGTAAGGTGGAGTGTGCAACCATGGATGGTGATGCTGTCAGTGCCTAAGGTGAGGAGGTGCTGACGGGAGCCAATCAGGAGAACCTCCATCTTGTTAAGGTTCAACCGTAGAAAGGTAGCTCTCATCCAGGACATGTTGTCTGACAGACATTCTGTGGTCTTGGAGTCAAGGGTGGAGGCTGAGTGATAGAGTTGGGTGTCATCCGCATACATGTGAAAATTGACCCCATGTCTGCGGATGATGTCATCAAGAGGGAGCATATAGATATGGAAGTAAATGCTATATGATGTCAATGCGCAGTTTTGTAGCCAGAGATAGATGTCATTGTCTCCAGACCTTATCAAGCTCACCGAGCCGATACATCGCCAGAAGTCCAGTCCACAACAGCCCAAATTTAACACATACATTGATACCAGGTCAGCATTTGACTCGGTAGACTGTGAGCCACTGTGGAAGGCCTTGAGGAGTGTCTGTTTCCCCAATGTCTTGTTCCGCTTGTTCTAAACATACCTAGAAACAAATTATCATTACTGCACCAATGTTTTCTCAACTTTGACTTTATCAATGCAATCGTGACCTTCTGCAGTTTAAATGTCAGGCTGAATGAATAAGTTTCAGGAACATCGATCAAGCAATGGTAACATCTCTTCCCAAAAAATGTAAGTACATAGACTTCTTCACAAGTTAAGCATGATACCCCATCCAAGTGACCATGCTTAATGTATGAGCCTAGGCATTCTCAGCAAGCATCACAAATAGGTCTGACCGCTCCCCAGTTAGGTCCCTCTACATGCACAACCAGTAAAGCGTTAAAGCGCTCCGAGATGGTGTCCGGCGTGGAGGGCGCTATATAAATCCAAGTTGTTGTTGTTGTTAAAGGGACCAGTTGCTGGTTTGCCCTTCATTAACCTCCTTAGGAAGGGCTTGGCTGAGACTAGCAAACAATATGGATCAGGATTTGAACCAGAAAATTCCTGGTGTATATGCTGCAGCTCTATCGATTGCACAAGAAGAGCTACCCCAACTTCAGCGCTCCGAGACACTATCCAGCATGAAAGGCGCTATGTAAATGCAGGTTATCATTGTTACCTGGAATTTAAAAGTGGGATCTCATTGGACATACCCACCACGTTAATTGAAAGCAAAATTACATTTGTACCACACACAATGGTACGACCTTCAAGAAGTATTTGCACCAATCATTCATTCCTATTTAACATGAAAAGTTGACAGCTAATTTTTATTGATTTAGCCAATTACCTAAAATGGAAATATACAGAGTGCACGATGAAGAGCTGCGAGATATAATCTCACACTGAACATCTGTCATATGGCACTGAATACAACCAATGATAAAATTGTGAGTGAGGCATCAGATCAACCCACTTGTATGTTATCCCACTTTGTCTCATTGTGGATGATCTAAATTGCATGAAAAGCCAAACTATTATCCTCTTACAATGTAGTGTGTGTAAAAATATATTCCTTTCACAAAAGTTTATGTAAAGTTAAAATAATAACTAAAATGCATACATAGTAATACCTACATAGTGATTGTATTAGATAATGGAACACATACCTTCATATTTTGGTGAACAGACAAAATCAGGGAAAATATACTTGTATGATAAGGTTCATCTGTTTTGAGCTTAACTTCACTGGACACAATATGATCTAACATTACTGGAGCCTGGACAGCCAGTGCAAATCTGGGATCACTGATGTCATCTTATATCAATCTGAACAGCATTGATGCATGCATCCAGTAAACCTATAACCTACGGCAATGCAGGCAAATATAAAATTGTGATGTTATCACAGTGACATATTTTCCATCTTCATTTTAATAATAATAATCCTTGCATTTGATATAGCAAGTCTTCGAGCTGTCTCAAACAGCTTCACAGAATATACTGTAAAGTGAATTGACTGTATATTTTGTGAGCAAAACATAGCAGCCAATTGCGCCCAGCAGTGTCCCACAAACAGTCATGGATGAAGTGACCAAATAATTTTTTTTGAAGGGATTATTATACCTGGAAAAGCGAACCACCAATTGACTAACAACTGAGTTCCTATTTACTGCTAGGTAAACTGAGGCATGTGGAGTAAGGAGACTTGTCCAACGTTTCACCCTGCCCAGAAATCGAACCCAGGTCCTTTCTCTTGCGAGACGAGTGCTCTAACCACTACTCTAAAGGATTCCACTGGACTTTAGAAATGTGTTGGGACATGGCTAGAATGTAGTATTTGTAAAATGCACAAAATAACACTAATTTTGTGATTAATAAATTTAACAAGCTAATACATTTTATTACAAGGCAAAGTCTGATTTTGCACAAGAACCATGATAAGAGTATAAAAATATGTTTTATTGGAAAAATAATATATAAATAGAGTACAAAATGTATTTTTAAAATACAAACTTAATTACACTTAAATTGGTATACTTAATGTGAAAATAAAAGTCATAGACACATTTACTTGATAAATGCAAATAGTTGGCAATGACACTGCTAACTTCCAGTTTCCCATAAAAAGGAAGGAAAGAAATATATACAGAATCATTTCTAGCTCTGCCGGACATCTTGTAAAAGTTTGTTGATCTCTGCTACAAGTTCACTGGCATTGATGAGTTCGTGTTTGCTCTCCCGTTTGCAAGGGTTCAGCTGGCTGAGAACGTTATCAAACTCATCTTCTTCGTAATTCTCTGGGATCTCTTCCATGGCTGGCAACCATTTGCAGGCAGGTTGGGGAGTAACGTGATTAACGGGGGCCAGACCAACACTGCTCACTGGATTCTGGAAATTTGTGCTTGCTGCCCAGGCTGCCACCCCTTGGGGATATGGCATAGTTTTTGCTGCCAAATGTCCTTTCTTGTTTTCCAAAGAACTCACGCTATTGGTCTCATTGCATTCTGCATACATGTCCATTTGGGGAGGCAGCAACCGTTGGAAAACACTGTTCATTTCTGACAGGAGGGAAGAGGTCCCCAAATCCTCTGCCTCTTCACTCTGGGACTCTTTGCCAAAGGTCAAGAAGCTTTTCTTCTTCCCACTGGAATCGGACGAGTCGCAATCGTCCTCCTGCAGCTGCTGAGTGTCCTCACCAGGATTAAACAAATTGCTCCTGTAATCAGCAGAAACTCCTGAAGATAATGGAGGCATCCAGCACTGATCAGAGTGGCCCAGCACCTTGCATTCATCTGTGCATAACTTCATTGCTGTAATAAAACAAAACCTTTCCATTATCATGCATGATGCCATCCTTCAACACATCAGAAACATTTGAACACACGACAGAAGATACTATAATCATTTCTCCATAACTCCTGCAGCACTACTTGCAGTGAATGTTTATAATGAACCTGCCAAATCTTTTCCAGATCCAGAACACACTGAATGTAACATTTCCACCAAAGCATAACACCAGAAAACATGGAGATCTTACAAAACAGAATGTGACTGAGGGCAGGAAGTGTCAGATGTCAGACAGCACTGTAAAGGAAGACACCCTCAGTCGTGGCCATTTCAAGCTAAATTGATAGTTTTTTTTGTAAATCTGGGCATTTACCACTTTGACATTTTCTGTGAGCCAGATAAATGAAGAGCACGACACCAATGTATGCATTGCCAATGTGGGCAGATACTTTGTTTAAACTAGGTCTTGTGTTTTTGGTGGAGACAGAAATTTTAAGATCTACACACTTGGAATCACACAATCCATTTATCACCAGGCATACAATACTAACAGTACTACTCCCATCGATCACTAAAGGATCTTAATCAAATGGGTTTGAAAGCAATCAACCCAATTTCTGGTACAATTAAGTCACAGCACAAAAATGCCAAATTCTACTAAACTGGCAATAATTCAGATTGGCTTAAAGTTGCAGGAAGTAAAAATGTCACACTAGCGCAGCAGAGAAAGTTCTTCGGAGCTTGGGTTTGAAGCATATTATTACAAGCAATACCTTGCTTCTATCAAGTGCTTGACCTGGTCTGGCATTGCACGATATTGACACTGGGTCATAAAATGTTAAAATGTTCCAATTATGTTCTCCAGAAACAGTGAACATAAAAAAATCCAATAAAATTCAAAGACAGAAGATATTAAAACAAGCTCCCCGCAATGGTCTAGTGAGGAAAGGTATCGTCTGATGGAACACCAGTTCATATTGAACAAAACGTTGCAGGTTGGATTCACTCCTATAAGTAAATTCACTTTATGGCTGTCTGTCGGACATTGCTGTGCACAAATTGGCTGCCATGTTCACCTATAAAATACACACGTCACAGTAAATCCTATGAAGCACTTTGAAATTTCCTCCTGATGTGAAAGGAAGTGTTATACATAAGGATCATTAATTATTATTATCTTATTTCAGCTGAGGTAGGTGTTGAGCTGCTATAATTGGCCTCAGATCCTTTGGATGAGGGAGGAAGAAAAGTGGTTTAGGATTTCTGTTCCAGTCAGAGTTAGATTGCCATGTCAGTGGAAATTACTGCCAATACTGGGGGTTGTGCTAACCAGAGATCCCTGCTGGATGATCTGTGTGTGTGGAACTTGGGCAAGGACAGGAGCAGGCTTGGCTATGATGCCCCTTTCTCCCATGGTTGAACAGACTGCCAACACTTGCTGTAAAGGTTCTTGCATGGAAAATGTCACTTGGGTGACATACTGAGAATGCCCAGCGCCTGTAAGTGTATATCCCAGTAAAAGAAAACGCCTCCAGAAGGTGGAGGGGTAAAATAATTGAGAGGATAACATTTCCTGGGAAATAACTATCAGTAAATGCCACTAAACCTTTGGAAGTGTATTGTTGTACAACGTAAGTAAGTTATCAAGTAAATCAGCATAACAACAACAAATACTAATGTGATAAATGGTACCTGGGTGAAATCGGTGGCTATCAGTGACAAAGAGATCGCTGAAACCTTCACCAAGGAGTCTGTCAATGGGAGAGTCTCTGCCCAAGTCATAATCACTGTCCCCAGCTTCACTGTCTCCCCGGCCGCTGTCCTTCAGACTGAATTTATCCATATCCTGAAGAGCATATCTAGAGAAAGGTAGGAAAGGGTAAATGATTGATACCATACACTGTTTGACACACAGCAAATCCTCAGAGAAAGGAATCAAGTTCAAAAACAATTCTTACCTGTAACTTCTTGAATATTTATTTCCACGAAAGTTGGGTCTGGGTTGGTACTGGCCCTGGTGCAGCATGCTCAGCAACTGGGAAACTTGCTATATGGTGACAGAGAGGATGAAAGAAACTTAGTGTCAATCGATCTATTTTTTAATTAAAAAAAACAAAAAACTTCTATTATAATGTCCTGTGAGATATTGTATTCCTGTGGAGAAGTGCATACTGTTATCCAATCCACTGAAGGGCATCAGATAACTAACACCAGCATCAGAAATATCACATTTTTGTAACTGACGAGCTATAACCAATAATTCTGAAAAAGATCACTCCTCATTTCAGCATTCTAAGCACAATAAAATGTAAAACAGTCAATAATATAAGGCAAATTTACGGTATAATTAATTGATCTTGAACAGATTTAGAACTCTGTACATAACTAATCTGGCAGAAAGCAACTACTGAACTATTGTAACATATAATAATAACAAAAAAATGAGCCTTGGATTTGGTATAGCGCCTATCACTTTATTTATACAGTATATATAATATATATATATAAATATCTGTAAATCTAATTGGTTTTATACTGGAAATGGTTGTTCTAAGCAAAAATTGACTGCAGGATTAAGATCAGGCAAACAAAGAGGCAAAGAAGCTGTACAAACAGCTGAGTTATGAAATGAAAAATACCATATTGGTGCAGTAGGGGTGCTACTCTAGAAGTTAAGTTTAAAGTACATTGCTGGGCAGTAAATGGAGCTTGCCACAGCATATATACCAATAACTTTAACAATTACTTTTGTTTTCTTTCTTGCTCACTCATATTACAGACCTAGAAATATTTGATGTGCCCACAAGTGGGGCCAGCTTCCATTTCACATCACCAACATTACCACATTGTGTACAAAATAACCTCATCTCAGCAGAATTCTGACATTTCAGCTTTGCATACATGGAAATGAATGAGTGGTCTTTTGAATTTGAACTTTTAAAAAGAAAAACTCTTCAGAATAGCTAACAAAACATAAAGCTGGAGATTTCATTTAGCTCTTCTTATAAATGAGCCAACTTTATTGGGTTGAATCCTTTCACCCCCCCCTCCACCATTCCCTGCCCAGTCGTTTTTTGAAAGAAGTGAAAAGCAATTTACGTGACACTGTGAAGGACTTTTGGTTTCCGTGAAATGGACACGATAATAATAATAATCCTTGCATTTGATACAGCGCTTTTCATGTATTCTCGACATCTCAAAGCGCTTCACAGAATATGCTGTAAAGTGAATTGACCGTGTATTTGTGAGCAAAACGCGGCAGCCAATTGCGCACAGCAGTGTCCCACAAACAGACACGGATTGAAAATGACCAATTTATTATTGTTTTGTTTTTTGGAGGGATTATTATTAGGCGTGTGGGATAAGGAAACTTGCCCAAGGTTTCGCCCTGTGCCTGGAATTGAAGCCAAGTGTCTCGCTTGCAAGGCGAGTGCTCTAACTACTGCGCTACAGGACTCCTGTAGCTGTAGATGATGAAGAGTGAATGACACGTTTATAGATTGAATGGAGCCTATCATTGCCATTCACATAATATGATTCAGATCTCCACTTGGGAACCTGACCTGAACTTTGTGATGACTTTGTCACTAGTGAGTTAGCTGATCGCCAGTGCTTGTACGAAGATTACACGGATGACAATGCAATGGTTTCAGACACTTGGCTGTAAGGGATGCACCTCCAGACGTGAAAGGCACTGTACAAATGTAATGTTGATGTTGTTGTCAGGGCTATACATTTGTTTTTTTTTACCTCTACATCCATGCGTTTGGGATCACATTGAACACACTACAGTACCTCTGCCAACAGGACCATACCGAATGTGAGACAATGACAAAAAGAGTTAAGTGTATAAATACGTTCAACATAAATTGCTTATTGATGTTGATCTAGAGCTGGGACTGGGTTGCTGGTAAAATACGGCAAATCAGGGAATCCATCTAAACTGAATCGAGACCAGTCTGCAAGTGCAAATGTTCTCCATTCGTCCACCTGTCGTGTGGATAACTTTTCTCTGAAAAGGGCCACAGAAAAATGTAAAGTGTAAAAAGTGTAAAGTGGAGACTATGGATACAAAATGAACGGTCTGTTCAAAACTTTCACAGCATCTTGTTCACTGTCCTGGTAAAGCTGTACAACAACCTGCTACAGCCTCCCAATAGCCCCAATCTTCGACCAAGGGATGAGAGAGAATTACGCCCAGAACACGATACATGTATATCACAAACAATGCTCGCTTATAAACGCACAATATGACCAAGATGCTCACCTCGACAGGCGGAGAGGCGTGTGTGAGCTCCAGGGCGAAGTTCTCGGGCAAGTGGTTAGACGACAAAGTCACCAGGCTGTTGAGTGACTGGCGGCTGTGGTGGGTTTGCCTGCTGCACATCTGGCCCCGATCCATTCCCGAGAGGGTCGGCGAGGAGGACGGGGAGGCTCTGTGCTGAGATCTGATGGGCAGAGTACCCGTGGCTGTGTGCACCAGAGTGATGTCCCCCTTGTGGATCTGCCTGGATGGCCGCTTGGGGTGGTGCTGGTAAGTAGACTCGGCCACTCGACAGTTGTAGGACCTGTTGTCCTTCTTCTCTCTGTTGCACCTGGTGGCAAACATGGCCATAATGATGAGCAGAACAGCGCAAACCACTCCCAACGAGATGATGATGATCATGGAGGAATCTAAAGCACTCTGGTCATCAATTATGCTCTTGGACATGTCCTCTGGTACAGTTAGGACGATTTTCAAGGTAGCCACAGTGCTCAGACTGGGAGTCCCTTTATCTTGCACCACCACCACGATTTCCCATTCCCTCTCCTTAACCAAACTCAAGCTATTGTTGGTGTAAATGTTGCAGGTCCTGGCATCCATAGTGAAGATCCCATGTTGGTTGCCATCAAGGATGGTGCAGGCCAGCTCGCCGTTAGCACCAGAGTCCTTATCTACGGCCGCAACGGTGGTCACCAAGTAGCCGGCCCCGGTGCCCATTGGCAATGGCACCTCGGCTGTCCCGTTGCGCAAAGCGGGAGTAACGATCAGGGGCGCGTTGTCGTTCTGGTCGATCACAGTCAGGACCACGGTGGTGTTGCTGGTGAGCTGGTGGCTTCCCCCGTCCCTGGCCTGGACTGTGAAAGAGATCCTGGTGATCTCCTCATAGTCGAAGGTCCTGAGGGCGTAGATGGCGCCATTGGAGGGATCAATGGTCACGAATGTGGTGATGGAGCTCCCGGAGAGGTAGAACTCCAGGATGGTGTAAGTCACATGCCCGTTCTCTCCAAGATCCGGATCACTGGCAGTCACGGAGGTGATGTAAGCGCCAGGAGAGTTGTTCTCGGGCCAAAACAGCTCATAGGTGTCCTTCTCAAACCGAGGGGCGTTGTCGTTTTCATCCGTGAGTTGGACCGTGAGATACTTGATGGTGGAGAAACTTGGGGAGCCCATGTCCTCTGCGATCACTTTGAGGCTGTACTCGGGGATGGCCTCGCGATCCAGGGTGGTGTTGGTCTTGATGATGTACTGCTTCTCGTTGGTTTGCTGGAGCCAGAAGTGCCTGTGGCCTTCCAGGTGGCAGGCGACTTGCCCGTTCAGCCCCGAATCCTTGTCCTGGACACGGACCAAGGCGATGAAGGTGTCCCTTGGGGCCGCCTCGGACAGGTAAGCCACGTCTTTGCCCAAAGGCATGAGGCTGATGGTGATCTCGGGCTGGTTGTCATTCACGTCCACCACTTTGATGATGATCTTGCAGTGGGCAGGGATGGAGTTGGGACCCAGATCTTGAGCTTGGGCGTCTATCTCGTAGGTCTGGCTGACCTCGAAGTCCACCGATTTCAGGAGGGTCAAGTGACCGCTGTCCGGGTCGATGCTGAAAGTGTCCGTGATTTGGGGGGAGACGTGGCTACTGAAGGAATAGATGACTTGGCCGTTGCTCCCCTCGTCCGCGTCCGTGGCGTTCAGGTCGAGGAGCCGAGAGCCCCGGGGGGAGTCCTCCAGGAGCTCGATGGTGTAGGAGGTTTGCTCGAAGACGGGACTGTTGTCGTTCGAGTCGGCGACGCTGATCTTGAGGAGCGAGGAGCCGGACCTGCGCGGGACCCCGTTGTCCGAGGCGGTCAGGCGGAGCTGGTAGCTGTCCTGCTGCTCCCGGTCCAGCTCCCGGATCACCAGCAGATCCGCGTACTTGGCGCCGTCGGTCCGGGTGCGCACCTCGAGCGCGAAGTGCTCGTTGGGGGTGAGCGAGTAGTCGTGGAGCGAATTGTCCCCCACGTCCGGATCCACGGCGCTGTCCAGGGGGAACCGGGCACCCACCGAGGCGCTCTCGTAGATCTCCACCGGGATGACCGACCTGGGGAAGCGGGGCGAGTTGTCGTTGATGTCCAGCACCTCCACCTCGATCTGGATCAGCTGCAGGTGCTCGGTGGGCAGAGTGATCACGTCGAAGGCGACGGCGCAGGCGGCGGCGTGGGGTTTGCACAGCCTCTCCCGGTCGATGCGCTCGGCGACGCTGACCCGCCCGTCCTCCTCCCGCACCGCGAGCAGCGAGGAGTTCAGGCGCTGCATCACCCGAAAGCGCTGGGAGGACGGGTTCAGCTCGTCGGCCAAGGTCTCCGCCAGCGTCCCGAGCACCGTGCCCACCGGCTGCTCCTCGTACACCCGGTACTTCACGGTGATGGCCGCCGCCTCCCGGCACAGGCAGCCGAGCAGCACAAGGCACAGCCACCGGACCGGCGCCGGAGCGGGAGAGGGAGAGGGTCCGACCTCCCGTCGCCGCTTCTCCATCGCCGCCTCCGCCGCGACGACGACAACAACAACAACAACAGCGGCGGCGGCGACGACGACGACAACGACGACGACAAGAAATTCTGAGCGCTTATTTATCCGCAAACCCCACCCCGCAAACTCCCCCCACCCCGCAAACCCCCCCCCCACCCCGCAAACCCCCCCCCCACCCCGCAAACCCCCCCCCCACCCCGCAAACCCCCCCCCCACCCCGCAAACCCCACCCCACACGCACTTTTTCCTCCCTCCGAGCGCTGGAAACTTCTTGTGAAGTCGTAACACACACCGCACGAAATGCACAAACGCACGAACGCAAACGCGCGCACAAAAAAATACACAACGCACAAACACACGAAAAAACACACAACAAACACACACACCACACACAAAAAAACACACAACACACACACACCACACACACACAAAAACACAACACACACACGAAAAAACACACAACACACACACACACACGAAAAAACACGCGCAACACAAACACACACACACAAAAACCACACAACAAACACAAACACAACACGCGCAAAAAAACACAGCACAAACACACACACACAAACACACACACACACACACAAAAAAAAACACACACAAAAAACACACAAAAAAACACACGCACAAAAGTGGAGCTGATTTCCTTCCACAGCCCTCGGTTCTGCTCATTCACACTCCGGGACACATTTGCTCTGGAAGATGTTTTGACACAAGTCAAGAGGACGAAAAAAAAAAACAGCCTTTGCTTTTTTTTTCTCCCTCCCCCCCCCACAAAAAAAAATCTACCACTTACTCAAAAAAAAACTATTCCCCCCCTCCCAACCACCCAAAAAAAAAAGTTTCAACATCTAGTTACTTGCTGCTGACTTTTTTTTTAACGCCCCCCTCCCCACCCCTCTCTCTCTCTCTCTCTCCCTCCTTTGGCGCACCGCGGAGAGAATTGGTTTGGGGGGGGGGGGGGGGGTGGGGTGGAGAGAGAGAGAGGAAAAAAAAAGGGGGGGAAAAAAAATAAAACTTTTTTTGGGGGAAAAAAAAACAACAAAATAGAAAAGTTTCGTACGATTCTTTTTTTGGGGGAAAAAAAAAGATAAAGGGAGAGAGAGAGAGAGGGGGAGAGAGAGAGAGAAAAAAAAAGGAGAAAGAAATAAAAGAGAAAAAACGAGTGGGGTTGTGTGTTGCAGTTGACCAGGGAGTGAGTTGAGGGCTGTGCTGTCTGTTCTCTGCCTCTCACACACTCTGGTGGAGCTCAAGGAAAAACTTCACTCAAACTCGCCCAAACTTTTTGCCAGGACGCGTGCCGCCGGCCCGGCACCCAATCGCCTGGCTCTGCTCTCCCCACTCCCCACTCCCCCCTCCCCTCACACCACACACCACTCCCTCACCCACCCCCCGGGCCACAGACCACACCCCACCCCCCCCTCCACTCCACTTCGTCCACATCGTCACGAAGAGTGGGCAGGGCACGGGCAGGGGAGGGCAAGGCAGGGGAGGGGAGGGCAGGCAAGGCAGGGCAGGGCAGGGGCGGGCAGGGCAGGGCAGGCAAGGCAGGGAGGGCAGGGCAGGCAAGGCAAGGCAAGGCAGGGCAGGCAAGGCAAGGCAGGGCAGGGCAGGGCAGGCAAGGCAAGGCAGGGCAGGCAAGGCAGGGCAGGCAGGGCAAGGCAGGGCAGGATGGGCGCCCATCGCATACGCGTCCAGGCTCAAAGTCTGAGGACGAATTAACAGTGTGACGGAGAGAAGGGAAAGCAAAGCGCCTCACACCTTCACTTTAAAGCCTCTTCTCTTAAATCTCTGCAACTCACTCCCTCACTCACTCACACACTCACTCACCCTCTCCCTCACTCCCTCACTCCCCCCTTCCCTCCCTCACTCTCCTCCTCCCTCCTTCACTCACTCCCCCCTCCCCTCCCCCCTTCCCTCCCTCACTCACCTCCTCCCTCCTTCACTCACTCCTCCCTCACTCCCCCTTCCCTCCCTCACTCACCTCCTCCCTCCTTCACTCACTCCCTCCTCCCTTCCCTCCCCCCTTCCCTCCCTCACTCACCTCCTCCCTCCTTCACTCACTCCCTCCCTCACTCCCCCTTCCCTCCCTCACTCACCTCCTCCCTCCTTCACTCACTCCCTCCCTCACTCCCCCCTTCCCTCCCTCACTCCCCTCCTTCACTCACTCCCTCCCTCACTCCCCCCTTCCCTCACTCACCTCCTCCCTCCCTCACCTCCTCTCTCCCTCACTCACCTCCCTCTCCCTCACCCCCCCCCCTCCCCTCACCCCCCCCCCTCCCCCTCCCCCCCCCCTCCCTTTTCGTCCGATCCAACTTTTGGACGCTCCCAGTCACGGCTGCTGTGTGACCTCCTCGCAGGTTGTCTGAAGGAGCCCATAAATCTCCCGATCACTTTTCTCCTCGTTTGTAAAGAAAGAGACTCATTTGCTCGGAGCGCCTTTTTAATCGTTGCCTATTCTCTCGGACTTTTCTCTCCCCCCCCCCCCCCCCCCTCTGCTTCGGCGCCTTTAAATGTTAATAAACTCTGCTCCTCTTTTCACTCGTTCCTTTTCTGCAGATTTTCTCCATCCTTTTCTGCAGATTTTCTCCATCCTTTTCTGCAGATTTTCTCCCATCCTTTTCTGCAGATTTTCTCCATCCTTTTCTGCAGATTTTCTCCCATCCTTTTCTGCAGATTTTCTCCCATCCTTTTCTGCAGATTTTCTCCATCCTTTTCTGCAGATTTTCTCCCATCCTTTTCTGCAGATTTTCTCCATCCTTTTCTGCAGATTTTCTCCATCCTTTTCTGCAGATTTTCTCCATCCTTTTCTGCAGATTTTCTCCATCCTTTTCTGCAGAACAGCGCACTTTTGTTTCGTTAATCGCTCAGAACATTTATTCAACAACATGTGAGGTTATTTTTTTTGTGTGTGGGAAGACTTTCCTAAAGTTATCTATCTCGAGACACAAAGCCGTTCAATTCGATATTCTCTCTCATTTCCTCTCGTTCTCCTTTCCTTTCAACCACTTCCCATCTTGGGAATTATTTCCAGGATCGCACTGTTGTTTCCTCAGTCCCTGCGAATGTGTCGTTTGTTTTAACTCGACTTTTTTCGTTCAGTTTTTGACTTGATTGATCATTAAACTGTTCTGTTAGGAGGAGGAGAGAGAGAGAGAGGGAAAGAGAGAGAGACAGACACTTAAATTAACTCGTATTTCTTTGGTGGGTCACGTTTCACCCCCATGTGGAGTCCTGTAGCTCAGTGGTTAGAGCACTCACTTTGCAAGCGAGAGACCTGAGTTCAATTCCAGGCAGAGGGCGAAACCTTGGGCAAGTTTCCTTACTCCACACGCCTAATAATAATCCCTCCAAAAAACAAAAACAATAATTAAATTGGTCATTTTCAATCTACGACTGTTTGTGGGACATTGCTGTGCGAAATTGGCTGCCGCGTTCGCCCACAAATATACAGTCAATTCACTTTACAGTGTGTTCTGTGAAGCGCTTTGGGACGTCCTCCCGACGTGAAAAGCGCTATATCAAATGCAGGGATTATTATTATTATGTTATATCCTGTCCATTGCCCCCCCCCAGAAATTCTTCACACACTAACCCCCAGAGAGGACCACATCAAAATGCCTCACAGCTTCACCGGGTATAAGACACTCATCACTCCACTGCTCCCATAACCAAATTGGTCAGATGTGAAAACAAATGACCATTTGGTCGGTGTTCCCCCCCCCCCCCCACACACACACACACACACACAGAAAACAGCAAAACCGTCGTCCCCCCCAAAAAAAAAAAAAAAAAATGTCACTCCAAAGGACCAAAAATGGAGTAAATAAAACAAGCTGAATTCTCGTGCCGGCTTGTCATTGCACGTGAATGAAGTGTCTCAGTTCAGAAATGCTGACAAGAAAATCTTGTCATGGTCTGCAATCTACATCCATCAAACTGACTCCCCAAATATAAACACCTGCAACGGTGGCAAAATAATCTTTGTGGCTACAAAAAAAAAAGTTTTTCATCGACCACCATCTGCATTTGCTCGGGGTGTTTTTTTGTGTGTGTGGGGGGGGGGGGGGAGTGGGGAGGGTGGGGGTTGCTTTTTATGACTTGGTGTAATCCCCTTTTTCTCTCATTTCTATGGCTCTCGACTGTGCCCCAAGTTTTCTCGAAGTTGGACTCTCTTTCTGTGGAGGAGGGGGAGAGGGAGAGGAGGAGGGGAGGGAGGAGGAGGAGGAGGGGGGGAGTGGGGGGGGGGGGGGGGGGTTTAAAGTCACTGAGTGGATCCCAGACAGACGTGGAAGCGCAGCTCAGACTCTCCCTTTCTCCTGCACTCAAACGCCTTTTAAAAGCTATTACTGATCCCCCCATACAGGGAGCGCCGCGTGGAAAATCACGGATAAAAGGAGGGCGCCTCATGAATGTGTTCAGTAATAGGGTCACCGCCGGTGGGCATTCTGCCCCATGAATACTGTTTTACAATTTGGAGGCCTTTTCAGAACTTTAGCTGCGAATTAGCATCCTCTATGAGGAGCAAAAGCAAACACGGGGCAACTGCAGCTTTAGAAGCCCGTGGCCATCTGGCGCTAAATCCTCGCCAATCGACCCAATAATTACACCCATTCAGCTTCAGCACAGAGAGAGAGAGAGAGGGAGAGAGAGGAGAGAAAACCCTCCATAAACACCAATGGGACACGTTGCCTTCTGCTGAAAGGGATTCCCAGCGATCAGATCATTCTATCAGTTCACGCTCTCTGCTTTGATAATTATTTTTTTTTGCAAAACACTGTGTTTTTGTGTGTGTGTGTGCGTGTGTGTGTCAGTGTGTGTGTGTGTCAGTTCACGTGCAATGTTTATTTGGCAGTCACTTACTTGCACGGGATTTGCTCAGCTCCAAAGCACTTTCTGCCCTCAACCGTGGCAGCGTATTACAGGTATTTTCCGCCGAGAGATGAGCTCAAGCTTCAATGAAGCTCATTTACTTTCAGCAACGGAGGGAAAGGGTTTTTTCTTAAGGGGTGGCAATGCATAACTGATGCAAAGCATCAGAGTTCATTAAAACTGCATTGACACCTAAAAAGCAATAACGAATTATATTTTTTTTTCCCCCAATTCCTTATTAGATAATCAACAA